ACTACGACCAGAATCCTTTTCGTTTTTCCTTTCATATTTAAATTTTGGTAATCCCAGTGAGGTTTGAATAACAAGAGCCCTCATTAGCACAAAAAAGCAAAACCCTGAAGGATTCTGGTCGTAGTGGTAAAATGATGGATGCTGTCATCGTGCAAATGGCCTATTGACCAATCATTGCAGCTGGCTACAATAATATGGCGAGTACTCTCTTGAGTGTTACCTTTTTACTTCAGTATCTAAAATTAATTTTGCGTGTATATTTGAGTTTTCAAACAGTGAGATCAAAACATTGTTAACTATTTCCATAAAGCTTTACCTTTTTTACGAAGATTTGTGTGTCTATAGGTGGTTTTCACGTTACGTCATCGCCGCCATGCTGGTGGACGGTAACCAAAAGATCACTCATTAGCTCGCTTTGTTTGTCCACCAGCATTTGTTCATTTGACGATTGTTATTTGTGTCTCCCGAGGATGCATGAAAACCACCTATTAATATTTCATATGATGGATGTCTAAAACGAGTTTTAGAGAATCATCAGGTTGCTAAAACGTAACTAAAATAACGAATGCACCTGACTTTATAGCCTGATGTGTGTTGCTATTTAGAGTGTGTTTGCGGGTGTGGTTTTTTTTTTCACCATTTTAGTTTGAAATTAGTTATACATATAGTTTAACCAGACTGCAGTTGTTCAAAGGTTGGATAGCGATATCCACCGGATAAATCTTTTTCCAAGTGGACTGCGTCATCCACCCTTCCAACAACTGGGCGTGTTTGTATAATTTGGTCTCAAGAACATGGCGCAATTTTTGTTTCTAAAATCAATATGGGCTTAATTAACATCATTAATATGAAAACCTTTGTAAATTCTAAGTAGCTGGGACTGTCTTTTATATAGTTTAGGCGTTTCAGCAGGTTTGACTGGATCATCTGTTAGAGTTTCAACAGATGTACGTATCACAGGAACGAGTTTCAACCGTGTATAATGAGGTAGTGTATAAAAAACTGTTTGACGGTGTAAGCGTGACCGGGATAAGGGTCTCGAGAAGGAGTTGAACACACCAAATGATTTTCCAGCAATAGCCGCCGGACAAGGCATCCAGCGAAAGGTTTTAGGAATAACAAGTGTTCCATGTACATCTGTGCAAAACACAGATGTTTCCTGATCCCAAGCTCGATAGAGGTTACAATAGGCGGTGTAATTAATTTACAGAATGCAACTTGTTAAGGGGTACAACTGGGTTAATTTTAAAGGTGAATACTACCGTAGTTTCGTGAATGCATTAAGTCAATTTTTGCCCGGCACCGTTATTTTCAATATCGTTCACTCGCTTTTCAGGCCTATTTCAGACTCCACCTCGGTGAACAAACGTCGAAGTAGACTGATTTAGGCCTGGTTCTTTACAAATTCCTCAGAATTTTAAAGGAGGTTAGTTCTAATAAATTAAGCTAATCATGACTAAGAAATCTTCAAATTTAATTTTAAAAATTGTTTATAACTGCATCACGTGACCAGCCACTCCCTGTTTTATCGAGAAATCCCTTGGGTAGAAATGCCCACTGTGTAGAAAGCAAACCGTTTTCCTTTTGTAGGTCCAAACAGTGGCTACTGATAGTCTTGGTGTAAAAACGTTTGGAATGAGACGAAGTCATTTAACGTCTTTCTCCTAACGAAAATTTTAGTTAGAGGAGGACTGGCTCTAGTCAATGAACACCAGTTGGACCTTCAAATAGTAAAGCCTCCAACCATTCCAAGCTGATTTCGTAGACAAGTTTTAGGATCAAATTTATCAAATCTAGGTAACACGTTTAGTGTTGGTTGGTTTTCGAACAGAAGAGGGCGTGGTCGATCACGTGAACTGTTAAACAAATGAATTTCTTTTTTCAAGTTTTTTTTAAAGGTTAGTTTACCTCACCATCCATTATTCTTGGAGGATGTCTTCAACAATGGTTTTCGGAAAATTTGCATAAAAATCACAAATGACTTGGAAACAGGCCTTAATCTACTTGATTCTGAGGTGCTCTTTATGCGCTTTTTTTAATTCAGTAAAATATCCGTTTACCACTAGGTGAAAACGGGAGCAAGGGCGGGGAGAATCAGCCGGGGTGGATAACATCCTCCAAGATCTGCATAATTCTTCACATCCTACGAAAGCTCAATGTTTTATTATTCATTCAAAATATTTCTGAGTTCTTAAGGTCATTTTCTGGTTTACTTTCTTCGCATTAAAATTTTGGCACATTTCTTGGCAAGGTTTCAGAATATAGACAGACGTTTTTTTCTTGCAGGTACTTCTTAAAAGGTAGATAACATCCAT